GTGACCACGCTATATATATATATATATATTCTCTCTTTATTACTTTCCCCTCTTCTCCCATCTTCCTCCCCATAAAAGCTAAAAAAGCCCACAACCCAGCATTCGCCATATCTCACTCGCTCTCTTTTCTATCCCTCTACTTCAAAATGATTCAAAAGCCAAATTACGTCTGAATTGAGTTGTCTCATGAACTTAATATATATTTATATCTTTATATATTTTCAGTCTTGGAAGAGCAAAAAGAAAGTAATTTTCTTACTATCATATCATGAATTCTAATGTCACATAAAGCCAAAAAATATGATAATGAAGGATAATATCTTCTGTGCAGCTTTCGAGCTTGACGCAGCTATGTTGACCGCAAGGTTGATAAACGGGAGATATTATGTCATAGTGGTGATTCCCATGGTAACATTATGTTGTTTATTTTTAAGTTGAATGACCCTTGTTCGGTTGTTAGATTGAAATTATTTGGTTAGAATGTTTCATATTTTGGAAGTGGTAGGGAAGAATTGAGGGGGAAATTGTAGACAGGATGACTGTTGCAAGGTTTTTGTGCATCGGGTGCCAAGAAAGGTAATTTCGGTTTTCTTGTTAGGGGTTGTTTTCATTATTTATGAATCTTGGTGGGTGAGGGTTTTTGCTATCAAGAAAGGAGTCATATCCATTTGCAGTGAATAGTTTAGGAACTTGTACCTTTCATACTAGATAATTATTCTGATTTGAGGAAACGTCCTTGATATGAGACATCAAGAATTTGACAGAGCTTGGGATGTTAATTTTTGTTTTGTTTTGTTTTTTTTTTTTTGGCTTTTGTTAAAGATAGTTGTGGCCTGTAAATGTTTTTATGTCGCTGTAGAAGCAGGGGAATCCATCCTTGTCGAAGGTGATTCTGCTCTGATACCAAGTGAAGAAACAAAAAAGCAAGTAGAAGAACAGGGAAAACAAATTTATTGGTGTGTGATAAGTGGAGTTTATTAATCTATTACTCATGCATACATATGAGCAGACCGTGACTAATTTACAAGCATAAGAAATGACATACTTGTAAATAAATCAAGGCTAAACCAGCCGATTTATAGATGTGTGATATTAACATAAAAGATATGAATTTTTAAGTGAGAATTCCTAGCACTAGATGAGGAGAGCGACTCGGAGACGGAAGAGGCGAGTGCAGGGCTTTGAGCTGTGATCTCAGAAGAAAACAGATTAGTATTCTTTAGTATTCACTTCAATATCACTCAAATGCACACCTATTTGTACCTATCTTGTTCTTGTTCACACATAATTTTTTTTTTTCTCTGAGCTCACCCAAGAATCTACGGAAAAATATTAGGTCAAGATTTCGGATGTCGTCCGAGATGTCTAAGAGTTGGGTGTCATGTGATAGGTGGGCCTCACAAATTTTACCACTGACTAATTCTAGTATATTGTGTTGGGCCCAATTGACATGTGGCACCCCACCATTGGCGGAAAGGAACCTGATGCCATTGATATGTAAGCACCATTAGATCAGTTGAGGAGTTTACTTTTTGGTGATAGCATCTGAAGAAGGTCTCTTCTCATTGGTCCCTGGCTCTTCCAATATCTGTAGCTCAAAAGCTAAACTGCAACTGGGCCTTTTTCTTGTCTTTAGCTTCCAGCATAACAAATTTCCTCAGCCGCCGGCAAGCCTCTCACCGTCCGGCCACCCCAACAAGCTATCCCGAACGACCTCTCCTGCTCCCGCAGCCATCCTGTGAGGGAATAAAAATTGCGGCAGGATGCCCGCACATCCAGACAGTCAATCATCAATTGCCACCGTTTGATCTGTTGAAAAATTTAGTTTGGTGATTTGTGTCCTCCTTTTGAATTAATTTCGAGAGGTTTTTTGTGAGCTAAAATCAATCTGTAATGCTGGAAGCTAAGAACAAGAACAACCCCAGTCGCAGTTTAGCTCTTGGGCGACATTTATTGGAATTGCTAGGCACCAAGCAGAAGAGGATATGTGTCTCTTCAGGAAATATTGCACTCAAACTTAATTTTTACGGGGGTAAGAGGAGGACGAGGAAGCAATGGGAGCTCATCTGAAAATACATCGAAATAACTACTAGTAGGCTAATCAAATCAGCTCTTGAAAGAGCCGAGTTAGATCGTTTAATAAAAGGGCTAAAGTTTGAGCTCGAGCTCGAGCTAATGGTCCGTTAAGCTCTGCTAGTGTGCTTGTGGCTCAATAAGCTCGGCTTGTGTGCTCGTTAATGAGCTCGAGCTGGCTCGCGAGTTCGCTTGCTCAATAAGCTCGGCTTGTGTGCTCGTTAATGAGCCGAGCTCGAGCTGGCTCGCGAGTTTGCTCGGCTCATTTACGCCCCTACATAGGATCACTGGTGGAATCCGGCGGAAGAAGCACCCGCAGCCATCATGAGAATCCATTGCATCGGACAGAAGAGGCAGATGAAAGTAAGGATATGCATAGTCAAGGTAATAACCAAATAATCAACTCTTCTATATATTTTTGGTAATAAATCAAAATATTTGATTTGTAGAGTCTTAATTTGTAAAATTTTATTAAATGATGTTGTGATTTAGATTACTGTGGAAGATATAATGCAGCAGG